AAAACAAGATAAAAGTCAGAAAGTGTCCTACTAGCACTAATTGAGGGGAGTGGCGGCCTAGTGGTTAGGGCATAGAGCTTGGCCTCGGAGGTTCTGAGTTCAAGCCCCACTCCCACAGCCTGCCACTCTGGCTCCCTGAGCAAGACCCTTAGCCCCACACTGCTCCCCATGCGCCCCATGATGGCACCCCACTGCTGCCTAAGGGGATGGGTTAAATGCAGATGTAAATTTCTCCAATTAAGTTCAATTATTAACAAAAACATTAGATAATAATAGATTGGCTGCTGCAGTTGCTGCTAAATTGGGGCCTGAACATTCAGGCAGCACGGAGGGTTTATTTGTAACATTTTCACTGTAAAATCAAACAACCTGCAGCTCTAAAGTTTAGAAACATGTTTTATTCCCTTTTTTTGAACTAATGCTCTGTTTCAAAGGAAGACGGTTAAATCATTGTGTGAGCTGCAATGGAAGGAAGCATTTCCTGTAATCATTTGTAGATCTTCTCTTTATCCTGACAGACACCTTTATACATCAGGATTCATTTCTCCTCTGTAACGTCTGAGTGTTAGCTGTGAAGAAAGTTCTGCTCATTTTATATTATATATTTTCATGTTAATCCTATTTGGTCTCATTTATTACTATCTAACCTCAATAACTGAATATTAACTATTTTAACAGGTTCTATTTAAATTAGGGCTGCAACTAATGATTATTTTGCAAATTGATTAATCCGTTGATTATTTTTTCGATTAATAATTGGATAGCTAAAGATTTCTTAGAGAATACTTTTTTGTGAAATTAAACCATGTGAAACTAAAACTCTTCCACTTGAGGAGTTCTGGATAGAGCATAATGACGGATGAAAAATATTTTTATCTTAAATGCAAATACAATACAATTTTGGCATAATTACTGCTCTAATTGGGTCGCTCTGTCAGCTAAAGGCACGTTTTAGAGTCTTAGAGTCTCTATGCTCCAGTTAAAGATTATTCGATTACTAAATTAGTAGATGGTTATTTCAGTAAATTATTAATCATACCGTAATTAATTTGCTTAATAGTTTGAGCCCTAATTTAAATTAATCCCAACTGGATTTATTCCGGTTTAATCTTCTTCTTCTCGTTTTATTCCAGATAATTTCTGGGTTTGCACAAAAATTATTCAAGTTTTATTCTATTTCAAACCTGATCACATCAGTTCCTCAACCTTTACAGACAAAAAAAAACAACTCCATGTTTTGTTTCAAGTACCTTATCATTAGATAATAGATAAACAGCGACCCCAAGTGGATCTATATCAAAACGACCAGGAAAAAAACAAAACATGTTTGTAAATGTCATTTTTTACCTACAGGTGATGCTCATGTAAGCAAAAAAAATAA